CCTTTAGAATCCCTCACTCCTACACGATGTGTTTAAGGGGCTGACATGTTACTCCTCACTGCATTAGGTTCTATGAATCTGTGTTTGCATGAGGAGGCATATCTATGTGTATTTTTTATTTATCATGCTTGTGAAGGAGCGGTTATATTTTATTACTGTCTGTGTGTCATTAGCATTTTAACTTGCTGGAATGGGGGTGAATAGACTAATTCTAACACTTTGTTACGAACATCAAATCATGTAAAACCCCAGAGCATGGGATGGGTAATTGTTTTATCTTTTACAAGTGAAAAATAAGCAGAAAAGAATATTACACCTACACCGTAAACCTATTGGATCCAATTTTCAAATGCAATACAGAAAAGGCAGGGCATTTCTGTGACTTGATTCATAGTGCCAAAGCTCTGATTTGCAGCCATCTCCCTGGATGCTACAGAAAATCTTTAAATATTGTTGAATGTGGTTATGCATCTAATACATATTATGGTGACCAAAATTGTATTGATTATATCTCCATCCTATATGTTAATTCTTTGGCTAGCATCCCCATCTCCAGCATGGCAGTGGGACCAGAATGACAGCTTGTCGCCAGTCCTTAGTGAAAACCATCTGGACAAATTTTGAGAGATAAAATAAATTTGAGGCTGGAAAGAACCTGATAATTTATTACTACAGAGGTTGTTGAAATTTTCTGTCAAAAAAAAAAAAAAAGTTTGTCAGAAAATGTAGTTTTGACTAAACCGAACATTTTTTTCATGTGAAAATGTCAGCCTTGATTAAATTTTCTGATTTTGGAGAAATTAAACAAAACACCTTGCCTTGAATTGACATTTTGACATGAAACATTGTTTTTCATTGTGAAATGAAAATATTTATGCTTTCCTTCTCCTCCTGCCTAAATATCCTGATATTCAGAATTGTGCTAGTGCTGGGAATTCTAGATTGTGTTAAACACATTGTTAAAGGTCTCCCTTGAACCTGAGTGGTGGAGAAGACTTGACACCACTTAAAAAAAAGTTATTGCTGCCAAAGTCAACTTGAAATACGCTACATCTGAGTCTAATTTTCAGAGACTACGAGCAAGTACTTCTTGAAGTGAGCACCTCTGAGAACCAGTCCCTTTGTGGGGACTCAAAAATGAGGTGCCCAATCTTATAAAACACTTGAAAACCTCGGCCTGTTATATTGTCTAATACTTGCCTGCTACACACAATGCTGGAAGGTTTGTTTAATGTTTGTAAAGTGCACTGAGAACTTTGGCTGACAGATGCTATTTTGCACATGCTGGTATTATCCTTTGAGTGCTGAGTTAAATACTGAGGAATCTGCTGTTTTGTATGCCCACTAACTTTCTTTGTGGTGGTGTTATTTTTTTACACATCTAGACTACATTAACCTTGTGCTGGCTCCAATATGCAGATTGCTATAAGATAGATGATGATTGTTGCTATGAGTTGGGAATTGTGGTCTGCATTCCATGTGCCACCAGTACTCCCATTGACCTCAGTTGGAGGAATTTTGTTTGCACAATGAATGCCGGGTCAGTAGCAAGGTTGTGTAACTGGCCAGAGAAGTACATGGACCTGCTTTTATAAAATGAGACTCTCGTAGATGGAAGTTAAGCATGTGCTAACGCAACCTTGGGAAACTAAAGATACAGGCCCAATGCTTGTATGGTGTAAATGTCAAGATCAAACCTGAATTAGGGATGTGAATGGTTAACCAATAAGCCCCACCCATTAAGGTGCTTGCATACCAGGGGTGAGGCTTACTGGTTAACCATTCACATCCCTAATACAGGTTTGATTAAGGGTGAGACTTACTAGGTCTGGTTAACCAGTGGAGACTGGAGCAGCCCCTGTCCACAGCAGGTCCGGCCCAGGTGCACCACAGGCAAGGATGTTCCAGCTGGGCCAGAGCAGCCTCTGTCCAGGCCGCCCACCCCTATTTAATTTAGTTAACTGGTTAAACATTACGTTTAACTCGTTAACCCATTAAACAGGATTTTACATCTCTAACGTGTATATAATTTGCTAAGGACCCAACTGAGGTTCCTGGAGCAAGAACTGCACCAGGAAATGGGGGATGGGTGAGAGGTACCAACCAGAGACCAGTGAAAATATTATACTGTAGGGCAGTGATGGGCAACTTAGTGAGTGGGTCACACAAGATGCAAGATTGCTGTAACCAAGATGGTCTCTTTGGATAGGATAGTTTTGCTAACTCTGCTTGCGGACCTAGAATTTGTGGGGTGTGCTGATTGAACTATAGCAGTGTTTTGATTGGATACAAAGGGAGCACAGGGCTCTCAGGCTGTGTCTAGACTACATGCCTCTGTCAGCGATTTAAATGATCGCGGCTTCATTTACATGGCTGCCGCGCTGAGCCGACAAACAGCTGATCAGCTGTTTGTCGGCTCATGGTCTGGTAGCACTTTATAGACTAACAAAACATGTAGATGGTATTATGTTTTGTTAGTCTATAAAGTGCTACCAGACCATTTGTTGTTAAAGTTTATCCTGTACAAACTAACTTGGCTACTCTCTGAAACTTTTAAATAAAAAAAGACATTATTACTACAATTTAAATGACTTATGCACAGAAACAAATTTCTTCAAAATGTTCAGTATCTGATGGAATCTTTTTGCAAACTGGCAAATACATATCCTTCTCTGTTTTGGATACATACTTTTTAAAGGGATATTTAAGCATTTCAAGTGAAGTCAATTCACTCATTGTGCCAAGTATGACATTACTATTGCTTGTTACACAACTGTCAAACTGCTCAAGACAGGTTTTGCTTAAGTCATCAAAAATGGAATAAAGAGGATACCACTTGACAGAATTAATACAACCATTCAAGAAAAATTGCATATCACCTGAACAACATATAGTGTACACTAAGGATGTTAAGGACTTGACTAGTCGCTTCCACCTCTTGATGCCTCTATCAGATAGAGGCAGCAATGGGTGGTGGGGGGGAAGAGGGGCACTGCAAAGTTGTAGTGTTGCTTGAAGCCTGGGGCCAGACCCCGGGCTCCACGTGGCGCTGCTGCTTTGAATAGTGGTGCACAGCCCAGGGCATTTCAAAATGGCAGCTCTGTGTGGAGCCCAGGATCAGCTGGGGTCTCCCCAGCAGACCCTGGGCTCTGTATGGCACTGCCACTTTGAAACATTGCAGGGAGCCCGAAATCAGGTTCTTTGCGGCATTTCAAAGCGGCTGCGCCACATGGGGCCCAGGACCAGCTGGATCCTGACTAATCGAATACTCAATGCATTTTGCATCAACTATTCAGCTAGTCAATAGGGCATCCCCATCTTTGAAGCATAGAAACAACCTTAGGACTGTTGCTACACTTTAAAGGTGAAAGTGCCAGGTGGAGCCCGGGGTCTGCTGGAGACTCCCCACTGACCCCAGGCTCTGTGCAGCACTGCTGCTATGAAATGCTGGGGGAGCCCAGCGTCAAGCTCCTCCCGGCATTTCAAAGCGGCAGCGCCACATGGAGCCCGGGATCAGCGGGGGAGTCCCCAGCTGACTCCAGGCTCTACCCAGCGCTTTTGCCTTTGAAGTGTAGCAACCACCATACAGCTGTAGCTACACTTCAGAAATGGAGGTGCCCCATATACTAATCGAATAGTTGATGCAAAATGCATTGACTATTTGATTAGTCAGTTACCCAGTACTTAACATCCTTAGAGGATACTAGAAGCTCCCAAGGCAGAGAGGTCTGAGGAAGAAGACCCTGATCAGAATGGGTGGGATGCAGGTATAGGATGGTGAGCAGTGTCTGCCAAGCTCCATATGGGCTAAGTCCCTTCCCTCGAACTATGTGCAGAGCTCACCCCTGCCCTGCAGTGCAAGGACACCAAATTGAGAACTGTCATTGTGTGGAAGCTGGCAATTGCAGATTGATACAGGTCACCATGAGTGGCAGGGATAATGGGCCCTGGAGGCTAATCTTTCCCTGGTACAGCTACCACTGCTCAGTCTTTCCCTTCCTGCTTCTCCCAGCCTACCAGTTACTCCCATGGCTCATGAAGCTTTACACTGGAAACTTTGACAGCAGCAAGGAGCACTTCAACAACAGCCTCCGTGAGGGCTGAATGACTTTAGAAGAGTTGCCTTTCTGGCAGGTGAAACCTCAATGGGGAAAATAGTCCCATGGCCATAGCAGCCTGTTGTGCTCTGCATAACTTTTGTGAAGCCAACAGGAAAAAGTTTCCCTAGAGGCTGTGCATTGAGGTGAATTGAGCAGGCAGACACTAGGGCTATTAAAGAGGCTCAACCAAGGTTCCCTCCAAACTCTGTGGCCACACAGCTGCCTAATAAGCCCTATGCAGTGACTCAGGGCTGCTGCACATGGAGATGCCATGACCACGGGAGAGGCCTGTTGTCGGCAAGAGTAAGTCTCAGGTCCGACACTGGGTTTTCAAAGTACAAAGGATGCCACACAGGTATCTGTCAAACACAAGTAGTTTATTTCCTGGCAGCTAACAGCTGCACCCCTTAATTAGAAGGGCAACATAACAAAGAAGCGACATATCTTACATCCCTTTCTGGTATCTGGGGATCCCGAGTCGGCTGTGGACGAAGTGGGAGGTTGTCTCAGCTTCCGAGGCACTGGTACCCAAAGCCCATTGGTGAGGTCCAAATTGCTGTGCTTTGGTACAGCCTTAAATACAGTTCTCTTTCCTTGTTTTGCAGTTTGGAAATTTCCAGGGGTTATTCATTACGTGCTGATGTAGGGCTTAGCTGTTAGTTATCGATCTGGTTCTGATCTAGTTCTACTTGTTCTTTGGCCTTGTTTACGTGATCAGTACATTAGAGTAAACAGAATTGTTTATGCGTTCTTGCCCTTTACCCTTATCTTATACTTACTTGTTATTGCTATACTGGCAACAATGCTTATCTTAAATGGCGTATGTTCCCAAAGACTTGCTTCTGGCTCATCAGATATAGGGGAAAGGGAAAGGGGGGGAAAGAATGCAGGCCTCACCACCCCTAAACTAGCATGTACAAAGTTCTTCCGCAATTAACCCTTACAAGGCCCCTCTTCCCTGGCCTCTGCAGTTCCTACTGGGGCTGGAAGAGTGCGCTTTTCCTTGGGCCACAGCAGCTCTCTTCTGGCCTTGCTGCGGTCAGAGGAGTGCATTTCTACCCTGGCCACAGCAGCGCTCTGCTCCTGATCCTGCCTTCTCACTGGCTACCCATTTCTTGTTTCATTTTACTGTCTCCCTTCATGCTCTGTGCTCACTCTTGGCCTGATATGGTGATTGTAGCAATTCATAAAACATATCTTCCTAATTTCTCCTTCCTTGCCTTCTTATCTGACAGAGGTGCTCCAGGCTATGTAGGAGCTGGTTCTTAAGGGCACATCTGCAAAAACAACAAAAACAGAGCACAGAGTTAGTATCACGTGTGCATGTCCAGTCTTGAATCATAAAAGCTATATGTGCCTTTTTATTGCTTTACTATAGCAAGCATGCTACAATGCCAGAGCTCAGCCTAAACATGGGGAGCTCAGCCCAGAGAGGGAAGGGATGCAAGACAGAGCAAAGGGTCTGGATGTTTTCAGAAGTGGATCAATAATGCCTGTGAACACTAGTCTGAAAACAGTCATTGCTTTCCACTGGTGAGGGTGATCAAAGCTGAAATCACGCTACTGAGGGGAACCGAAGATATAAGGGTGCATGTGTGTGGCATCAGAATGGGATTATATCTGCTCACCTGTGAGATGCTTTGGTTCCTCCAGAAGTAATTACCAATTGTGCAGCAAAGTTTCCTGCCACAGGGGAAGAAACAAAGCCAGTCTGTGAATCCTTAGGTAGAGGATTGCAGAACATCTGCAGGAAAGTTTCCTAGAGATCTTTAAAAAGGATTCCGAGGATATCTCAGTGTGCATTAATAAACTTTTCTTCAGGGCCCCCACTGCATAACTGAACAGGGGAATGCAAAGCAGATGGAAAAAAGTACCCAGAGTTGTTAATTTTGATTCCCCTTCTCCCACATGTAACAAAATAAAGAATGCCTTTGTCGCCTATAACCATGTACTATGAAAGAAAAATGAGTACTTACTGGAGCTTCCCTCTCCAACTTCAAATACGTGAGAGCTAGACTCTGGAGTAAAAAAGGGGTCCTGGCTCTCCACACCATTGGATGAGCCTATCACCTGTTCTCCATTCTCCTCCTGCTCAACTTCTTTGTCCACTACTTCATCCTGGGGGTTGACTCCATTGTCTGCTATCTCCGGTCCCTCCCGAATTATTCCTGGTGTGCTCTGCAGCTGATTTGGGATTACCACGGAGGACAGTGTGCAGCTCCTTGTAGAAGTGACATGCGTTCAGTACCACACCAGAGTGACAATTGGCCTTCTTTTACTTCTGGTACATCTGCCTCACCCCCTTGATCTTAGAGTCTCTCTGCTCTGTGTCCCTTTTGTGCCCCCTCCTATCAGCAGACTGCTAATGGCATGGATGAAAGTCAAAGTGCCTATGGCTGGATCAGCACTGAGTCTGCTCAGCTTCCTCTCCTCACTGACCTTACGATCCAGCAATCCCATTGTACTCTGTGCGTGAGCTTCTTTGCCTTGGAAAGCCGGCATGGTCATCTGGGAAGATGTGATGTGAGCTGTCCACATTGAACGGGAAGTGGAATTTCAAAAGTTCCTAGGGCTTTCAAGGAGGTGGGGGGCACGCCTGTGTCCCTGCCTGCAGGGCAACAGAGTAGAAACCGTTCATCAGAGTGGTCATAATAGGGATTATGAAGCACCTCCTGAAGGCCGCCTGTGTCGACATAAGCAAATGCAATGTCTGCACTGACACTGTGTCGCTTTAACTTTGTCACAAAAAACGCTGTGCCACTCTGTGAGGTGGTTTTATGATGTTGGCAAAACAGGAGAGTTAAATCAGTGGGAGGGGCACTGTTATGCGTACACCTCTACTGTTTTGTTGATGAAACCTCGCTCTTGTTTGACAGAACTCTGTATGTTGAGAAACTTAACTAAAAAGACAAAGACTGTATAGGAGCAGGTCCGGCCTTTTAACAAGGTGAGCGAGGTGGTTGCCTTGGGCCCCATGCATTCAGGGCCCTGCGCTGCCCAGCTCCCGGCCCCACCCATGTGGCCGCTCACTCGCTGCCCTGACTGGGAGCCACGCGGCTGTGCAGCTCAGCCAAACAGTGTGTTGCCTTGGGCCCCACAAACTCTTTGGCTGGGCCTGGATAGGAGGGGGATGTTACACTCACTACTCTCCCCATCCCAATCTTTTCTGCAGGGGAAATAAGTGATGGGGGTATACTGGGCCTTTGCGGACATCTGCTGGAGGCCTGGCATTCCTACCACGCCTCCACCCTAGAAAAGGAACAGTAAAGATGAGTCCTCCAAACCTGCCTAGAGAGGCTGCACCGAAGAGGCCAATCAGCTCACAGCAGGCCAATGAAATGGTGCTGCAAAGCCTGAGCAGATCAGTTGCATGTTGGGACCAGAGGAACAAGGAGAGTGCTCTTTGCTGGCTGCTGGAGCTCAAGTGAGATCTTCAGCCCCTGTGGGAAGGGCAAAGCAGAGGGGCTATGTAGGAAGTGGCCCAGGGAATAGCAATAACAATCATTGAAGGAAGCAGCCTGGATTGATATTCGTAGAGTTGCTAGTCCAGACCCAGAGTAATGCGTTGGTCTCTGTTCCCCCCGCTGGCAGAGGGTCAAAGCGCTAGAAGTAGACTAAAGTGAAGGAGTCACTCAGCTGGAGACACCGCAGAATTGTTAAAGGATTCAGTATCTGGGTCATAGGGCAGGGACAGATTGGAAGCTAGCCCAGAGACAGGGCTAAAGACCTGACTGAGAGCACAGGTCCAGACTGTTGGATCTTTCACATCCAAGAAGAGGTTTGTTTGTGCACCCAGGCATATAGAGTATGTGTGGCTTAGCCTGATGGCTGAGTCCAAGAAGACCTGATTGACAAGGTTAACCCCCAAAGGAGAGCGGGAGAGCAAGGCAAGCAAGATGCGGGGCACAGGCTATCCAATAAGTTTCTGGACTGCATTGGTGACAACTTTCTGTTTCAGAAGGTTTAAAAAGCTACCAGAGGAGAAGCTGTTCTGGATTTGGTTTTAACAAATAGGGAGGAACTAGTTGAGAACTTGAAAGTGGAAGACAGTATGGGGGACAGTGATCATGAAATAATAGAGTTCATGATCTTAAGGAAAGGTAGAAGGGAGACCAGCACAATTGAGGTAATGGATTTCAGGAAGGCAGATTTTGATAAGCTCAGAGAACTTGTAGGTAAGGTCCCATGGGAAGCAAGACTGAAGGGAAAAAAACAACTGAGGAGAGTTGGAAGTATTTCAAAGGGACGTTGTTAAGGGCCCAAAAGCAAACAATTCCGCTGTGTAGGAAAGATAGAAAATATGGCAAAAGACCAGCTTGGCTTAACAAGGAGATCTTGCACAATCTCAAAATAAAAAAGGAGTCATATAAAAAATGGAAACTAGGACAAATAACAAAGGATGAATATAGGCAAGCAACACAGGAATGCAGGGGCAAGATTAGAAAGGCAAAGGCACAAAATGAGATCAAACTAGCTACAGGCATAAAGGGAAACAAGAAGACCTTTTATAAATACATTAAAAGCAAGAGGAAGACCAAGGACAGGGTAGGCCCACTGCTTAGCGAGGAGGGAGAAGCAGTAACAGGGAACTTGGAAATGGCGGAGATGCTCAATGACTTCTTTGTTTCGGTCTTCACCGAGAAGTCTGGAGGTGTGCCTAACGTAGTGAATACAAGCAGAGAGAGGGTAAGTTTAGAAGATAGGATACACAAAGAACAAGTTAAAAATCACTTAGGAAAGTTAGATGTCAGCAAGTCACCAGGTCCTGATGAAATGCATCCCAGGATACTCAAGGAGCTGATAGAGGAGGTATCTGAGCCTTTAGCTATGATCTTTGAAAAATCATGGCAGACAGGGGAGATTCCAGAAGACTGGAAAAGGGCAAATATTGTGCCCATCTATAAAAAGGGGAATAAGAACAACCCAGGAAACTACAGACCGGTCAGTTTAACGTCTGTCCCAGGGAAGATAATGGAGCAGGTAATTAAGGAAATCATATGCAAACACTTGGAAGGTAATAAAGTGATAGGGAATAGCCAGCATGGGTTTGTGAAGAACAAGTCATGCCAAACTAATCTGATAGCTTTCTTTGATAAGATAACGAGCCTTGTGGATAAGGGAGAAGCGGTGGATGTCATATACCTAGACTTTAGTAAGGCATTTGATACGGTCTCGCATGATATTCTTATTGATAAACTAGGCAAATATAACTTAGATAGGGCCACGATAAGGTGGGTGCATAATTGGCTGGATAACCGTAGTCAGAGAGTTGTTGTTAACGGTTCTAAATCCTGCTGGAAAGGGATAACAAGTGGAGTTCCTCAAGGGTCTGTTTTGGGACCCATACTGTTCAACATCTTCATCAATGATGTAGATATTGGGATAGAGAGTACGCTTATTAAGTTTGCAGATGATACCAAACTGGGTGGGGTTGCAACTTCTTTGGAGGATAGGGACATAATTCAAAATGACCTTAGCAAGTTAGAGAAATGGTCAGAGGTAAACAGGATGAGGTTTAATAAAGAGAAATGCAAAGTGCTCCACTTAGGAAGGAACAATCAGTTCCATACATACAAGATGGGAAGCGACTGTCTAGGAAGGAGCATGGCAGAAAGGGATCTAGGGGTCATAGTGGACCACAAGTTGAATATGAGTCAACAGTGTGATGCTGTTGCAAAAAAAGCAAATATGATTCTAGGTTGTATCAACAGGTGTGTTGTAAGCAAAACTCGTGAAGTCATTCTGCCGCTCTACTCTGCACTAGTTAGGCCTCAGCTGGAGTACTGTGTCCAGTTCTGGGCGCCACATTTCAAGAAAGATGTGGAGAAATTGGAAAGGGTACAGAGAAGAGCAACAAGAATGATTAAAGGTTTAGAGAACATGACCTATGAAGCCAGGCTTCATGAACTGGGCTTGTTTAGTTTGGAAAAAAGAAGATTAAGGGGGGACATGATAGCGGTTTTCAAATATCTAAAAGGGTGTCACAAGGAGGAAGGAGAAAATTTGTTCCTCTTGGTTTCTGAGGACAGGACAAGGAGTAATGGGCTTAAAGTGCAGCAGGGGAGGTTTAGATTGGACATTAGGAAAAAATTCCTAACTGTCAGGGTGGTCAAATATTGGAATAAATTGCCAAGGGAGGTGGTGGAATCTCCCTCTCTGGAGATATTTAAGAACAGGTTAGATAGACATCTGTCAGGGATGGTGTAGACAGAGCTTGATCCTGCCTTGAGGGCGGGGGGCTGGACTCGATGACCTCTTGAGGTCCCTTCCAGTCCTATTATTCTATGATTCTATGAAAAGCATGAGTGGCGTGGAGAGGGTGCATAAAGAGTCTGCATACACCTGATGGAGGTGCTCTCGAGAGGTGAGTGACCCTATCACAGGGTATGTCTAGACTACATGGCTCTGTTGCCAGGGCCATGTAGATTAGTTTACTAGACATACCCAAATGAAGCGGCGGCACTGTGCCTATTAGCTGTTTGTCGGCACAGCGCTGTAGTTTGGACGCTCTGCGGTCAACATCAAAGGCATTTGTCAACCTCCCTGGTAAACCTCATCCCACGAGGCATACCGGGGAGACAAATGCCTTTGATGTCGACCGCGGTACGTCCAGACTACAACGCTGTGCCGCCAAACAGCTGATCGGCCCAGTGCGGCAGTCATTTTAATTTAAATGAAGTGGTGTTTATTTAAATTGCCGCTTCATTTGGGTATGTCTAGTAAACTAATCTACATGGCTCTGGTGACAGAGCCATGTAGTCTAGACATACCCACAATGAGCCAGCAGGCCAGGCACAGGAGAATATGAGCAAATCCTGCAATAGCTAGTTTGGTGTGAAGTAGTCTCTGTGCAGGGAGTCACAAGCAGGGAGTAGGAACTACTTTTCTGGCTGTATATGCAGCCTGGGAACAACCCTCTGGACAATGCACGATGATCTCTACCAACTTGAAAACTGGAATAATAGGACTGGGATAAAATTTAATGGTACAGGGTCATGCCCCATCCCAGTCCCTAAATGTATCTGCGCCACACTAACCCTACAAGGGTTCAAACCAGTCTAGGGAGGCTGAGTGGCAGGCAGCTAATTAGGGCACATCTGACTGCGATAAAAGGGCAGCTGCAGACCCCTCCTGCACCCAAGCTTTTTTAGATTCTATACCCCCCCTCTGCTAATAGAGTAGAAAAGTGCACCCTCTGGCCACTTTCCAAAATTCTTGAAGTGGCCCCCCTGCAAAAATTATTAACCACCACTGTTCTGTGGCCTGCAATGTACAGAAGGTCAGACTAGATTATCACAGTTTCTTCTGACCTTACAGCCTATGCATCTATCTCAGCCTGGAGCAGGCTGTGTTTCGTTGCAGCAAGATATTACTCTTCATCTTTCAGCTGTCTAAAAAAAAACCCAACACCCCAGGAAGCCAGATCCTGACCTGGTTATATCACTGTAGCTCTGTCGGAGCATCTTCAAATTTCACCAGATGAGGAAGGTCTGGACTCCAAGTTAAACACTAACAAAAGACATGTAGATTGTGTGACTAAGG